TTATTATGATTAAACATGATTTTTTCACTATCAAAATAATGCATAAATCATTTGTTACACACATTTCTGAATTCAGTATTATCATCGGATGACATGTGTTGTGTTGTAAGGAATGGAACTCAATCTTATTGTTGCTTTTCATTATTTTCTTACTCATTTTGAGGTTTGTTTGTTAGAGAGAAGGACTCTACATTTTTAAAAAAAGATAAAATAACTTATCTGAACCAAGTTTGGATTATGCCTTCATTTGGAATGTATTACTTGATTGAGAGATAAAACACAGTATAAATTCTTAAAGGTGTTTTGATTGAAGTTTGTTGACAGAAGAAAATAATTGTAAATATGTGTATAAAAAATATAACAATGAATAATTTTGATGTAATGTCCTTTAGCAAAAAGATTTTTAATGTACTAGTTTTATGTGATGAGATGTATTGGCAAAGATAATTGTGACTTCATTAGAAAACAGACAGCAGAAAAAGATGAATTTTTTCATTGAACTAAGTGATAATCTTGTAGACAATTTTTGTAAATTAATTTTGAATTCTTTCTGTATCAACTTGTAGAAATTTAAGTTATATTTAAGTACAATTAAATGTTTATTATTCTAATGCAGTGTTTCCCAAGCTTTTTGGATTATCGACACACTTTGAATTTAATAAGATTTCTGTGACATACCATAATTTTTAAAATAAATTACTGTTCATTTTATAAAATTTTGATAATACAGAAGTTAAACTTACTAAGACAAAAACTCATAATTTTACAAATATATTATAAAAATAGACTATTTGAATCAATGCATAAAGAGATAGTATAGGTCTTTAAGCTGGTAAGCTGCAATATTTATGGATGCTCCAAAGAGTTGGTACACTGGCATATGCAACTTTTGTGAGGGTATACTGATGATGCAAATTTTGTAACAGTTGGCATTTTAGTTAAAATATACAGATGAAATTTTAAAAAAGAGCTTATTCAAAATTCAAATAAAATACTTAATATTTCTGTAACACACCTGAAGCACTCTCAGGACATACTGGTTGGGAAACATACTAATGTATCAATATTACAATAATATGTATCAATCAAAATATTTGATACTATAATTATATGATTATTAATAACTGTAGATTAAATATGGGAGGTATTAGAAGTTGCACTTCACTTCTTTAATTCCCTGTATTAGTATTAGTCTTAAAGAAGTGAAGCGCAACTTCTAATACCTCCCATATTTATTGAATTTTATGTAAATATAAAAAAGCAAAAAAATACAAATAAATATGTAATCTAAAATAAAAGTTTCTATTGNTGCCTGATTCACCACTGGTTTGGAGTAGATAATACTGTACATTTGTCAAAAGTGATTGCAACACCACTAATTAATGCTCGTAGCCACGTGAAAATTGTAGGACAAGTAGAAGTGACAGAGACATGCAAATGATTACAAGAACAAACAAAGATATGCAACAGACACCAGTTTATTCAGTGACGAATATGGCCCTCCACGGGCAGCTACACAGTCCGCTAAAAGACGAGACACACTATCAATGCGGCGATTAATGGTCGCCTGAGGTATCCTTTGCCAAATTGCGTCCGTTGCGGCGCGCATGTTGTCTACGGTATGTAGACAACATGCACGAGGCTGCTGGCCAGGGAAGAATGTGAATTCCGTTCAGGCTGGTGAGAATTCACCATGCAACATGCGGTCGGGCATTATCTTGCTGGAACACCGTGTCGGGTGTATCCTGCACCAGTGATCGAACCACAGGCCCACAATTCGTGTATTGCGTCCGCTGTTAGAGTACCGTAAGTATGTACTGAGGCTGTCCGCGGATCGAACATAATCCTCCCCAAATCGTGATGGGGACATAATCCTCCCCAAATCCTCCCCAAATTGTGTGACGGTCGGCGAAAAGAACGGGCACGTAGTGTTTAATTTACCGGAATACCACCATACTCGTCATTCTTCTACAGACTGAAGCGGATTCATCCGTAAACAATACCCGATGCAATTCAGTGGTTCAGTTGCAATGACGACGACAAAACGCCAAGCGTGAAGCCCTGTGTCGAGCGGTTAATAGACCCCCCGTTGCTGGTTGCCGTGCGTGCAGCCCGATTTCATACAACCTGTTGCGAATGGTTTGGTGGCCTCAGATGCACCCGTTTACGGATGTCACATGCTGTGGCGAACGGTCCTGTTATCCGTCGCACTCTGTCTTCAGCGTGTTCGCAGATGTTCCATCGTGTCACACATCGCTGCACGGTACTCACGTCGTACCCAATACGTGTGTCAACTACAAACGTCGACAAACCGAGGTTGTGCAGCTCCAGAATACGGTTTTGTTCCCCGGCCGTTAACTGATATTATTCAGCTCTCAGTCGTCTTTGAGGCATATTCTATGCTTCAAGTTGCCGCGAAATGTCGCTGATAGCATTTATGACTCGAACCTGCTGCTGGTATATATAGCCCGAAACTGAGTACCAGATGATCCGATGTATATGCAAACTTAATCATTTGCATATTTCTGTGGCCTCTACAGTCCTTGAAATTTGTACGTGGCCTACGTGTATTCCTTCGTGGTGTTACAATTTCACTTTTGAGGAGTGTATTTATATGAAATTCCAATTCATAAATACTGTATATATATATATATATATATAAAGTATGATCTTATAGTTAGAAGTACTTGAAAGTTTCCAACAAGATTTGAAGTACAGTAGATAACTTAAACAAACAAAATTATTTTTCAGTTTTACAGAAATTATCTTTGGTCAATCTGTAGAGTAGTGAATCATAAATTTCAATGTAATGAAATACTTAACACTTATTTTAGTGTTATCGTACTTTATATGTCAAGGAATTGTATTTTGTTATAAGTATTATAGCTTAGTGCTGTTATCACAGAATTTTATAGTATGAAGCTAACATAATACAAGAAAACACAAGCAGTAAGTGATATATCGTAACCTGTGAAGATTTTCTTCTCCATTAGAACAATACTTTCTTCAAGGAATTTATTAATACCTTTTCTATTAATTAACAATACCAATTTACACGTAACCAGCACGTTGATGAGGCGCAAAAACTCGATAACGAATTGCTATATTTTAAATTATTATAAATAAATTATATTTACATTAATTATTTACATAAAAATTTTTTTCATATCTGATGTAAACATTTGATATCCACTATTATGAAAAATAACAAGCTGATTTAACAAAGAAGAAAAGTATCAATACCAAGTGTTTTCATATACAGTCGACCCCCTATAACACTGTTGATTTTTCCGTTTTATATGAATTCCATGTTGTACGAGTCACTTAGATTTTACAAATACATGAGCCGTTCACAGCCCAGCACACGTATTTGTGAAATCTAAGTGACTCGTACAACATGGAATTCATATAAAACGGAAAAATCAACAGTGTTATAGGGGGTCGACTATATATATACAGTATATGTATACTGTCGAAATCAACATAGTTTAATATTTATATTTGATATCCGTACATTAATTTGGTCAAGGCTTTTTTTTATTCTAAATAAAACTATTTTGATTCAATTGTAGAATTAATTAACAATTTAAATCAATTTATTTTTATGTTTAACTATAACATATCCAGGCCTGCATAATATGAAAAATTTAAATGTGAAATAAAGCTAATTTGTAATTAATATTATTTGAAATTTAGGCCAATGTTTTTCAATTAATAGGTCGCGATTTTAAAAGAGAGATAGGCGAATCTTATTCTTTAATGTCATAATTTTCCAACACAGTAATGAGAATAACCAACAGAATCACTTTCTTAATAATAATAATTCTTTTTTATTTAATATAAGTTAACTATAATTGTAACTATAATATAACTTACTAAATTCACCTCTGACCTAAGCTAAATGAAACTTATTAACTAGTTTGTTTATTAATGTAATTTAGTAAGAAGTTTTTAATTTTAATTTTGAACATAGATGTATCATATATCCATATGCCACTATCAAGGACATTACAACATAAATTCGAAGAAATTTATTACATTTTCGGCAGAATAAGACCTAGCCCGAGCCGTTTTAATCATATAAAAACTTAGTTGAAAGTTCTATAATCTTTTTACTAACTGAACATTAAGTTATGTGTACTGTACAGTACAATTACAATTAAATAACGAAATAAAAGACAATAAAACATAGGATAATAAAAGTAATTAAGAGCATGTTCAGTCGTAAAAAGTAGTTTTTAATTGTAACAAAATAAAAAAAAGAAGAGTTTAAACGCGATAAACGTTGTCTTGTTTAGGATCATTATATCAAAATATGTGTTATATATTATTTCACAGAACTTCAGTTGTTATCAATGTTTACTGCAACTATATTTGGAAATACGATGATGTTTAAAATACATTTGTATTGTTATCGACTTATCGAATTTTAAACAGTTTTACGAATCTTATCCACGAAAACAAAAGATAATAATGTTTATTTATGGAAAAAAAATTATACATATATTTAATCTATATAAAATAAATAAATAATTCTATATTTAGAATGATATATCAATTCAAAATTATTAAAGTTAAATAATTCGCAATTAATTTCAGTGAATCGACCCGTCCGGATTCGAACCCGGTTCCACCAGAGCGGTAGGTCGCCATCTTGAACGCTCGGCCACAATTTATATGATATTTATTTGTATTTGTAATATTGGTATGTAATCAAATTATAAAGATTTGTAATTGTAATCGCAATAAATCTTGCATATTTTTAAAAAAAATATAACGTAACATTCTATATATTATTTCTTAACGAAATTTTAAAAAATTTAAATATTGCATCAAAAAATAAAAAAAACGCTGGATCATTGAAAAATTCAAAAATAATTTATAAACGATTCTGTTGTTATTTTTATACTAATAGTTTGTAAATCCAGCAAAATAATGCAATCACAATAATTAAATATATCATATTACAAAAAAAAAAAAATTATATATATATTTATTCCGAGAGATAATTTTGTAATGTTCGTTGATGTGATGGCGCTGCGACTCTTGGTGTTGACCACGCTTCGTTTGTAATAGAAGGTTAGCGGTATACGGCTGGCTTAAGGGGAAGACAAATATTTGACTCAATGAAAAGGTAATTATAACATTTACAATAACGCAACCAGCTCAATAGTTTATTTAATACGTTATTATTAATACGCTTGTATTTTTCAGATCGAGGACGAAGTTTTTAATTAAAAAAAATGTATAAAAATTGAAAATTTCAAGCGTGATTTATTGCAATAAAAATCTTGATGGATGCAAATACACAGGATAGCATACCACTTGCCTCTATGGAGGAATTGAATGTAGGAGGATCGCCACAACCTCTTCAATATCGACGATCTCCTGCACCTTCCTACGAAAGTCCTCGTTCCAAATATGCCGAGAAGTCAAAATATGAAGTTTCAGACAGGTTAGTCAATACATATATTGAAAATAATTCAACTTATTATACATATTAAATTGAAATCTCAATATATATTGATATTTACATAGTTTTAAAATTGATTAATAATTTAAAAATTCCATTTATTATAATTTACATCTAATTCTTATCATGAAATCTACAATAAATATGAATTTAATTAATCAAATAGCAATATTTTACTGTTTATATTATTGTTTTCTCATTTTTATGAATGAGATACCCCTTTTGTATATTGCGGTTATCCTCGATACGAAAATATGTGATGATAAGACAGTAAATACAAAAAAAAAACAAAAAAAAAACACCTCATTCATCACTGTTTAAGGCCGGTCAATTATCTAATACAAATATATGTGCTTAATATAGATTACTGACTAATATATATAGATAAACATTTTCGAATCTAGTAGATGTTAATTACAGTTATTGTGTTATTTTATAAAATTTATATTGACCCGAATATTTTAAATAGTTTTTTTTTGTTTTTATAAATATGTAACCTATATTAATTTTTAAAATATTTTAAGTTTTGTTATTTCACTTAATTATTTTTGCATAATAGAAGTAATACAGAAATTATATTAAAATTGTAATAATACACTACTTACTGTGGTTATGTAACAGATAAAGAACAATCATTTCACTTGTTAATAGGTGTTTTCCTCTTAGAATTATAGTAAAGTAAGTTAAATTCTAAAATTAAAGGAAAAAAATGCTCTATATTAATTTTATGTAACAGCATATATTCAATGAATTTATTAATTAAAGAAGTTTTAAACTTTTATTTTGTTAGAAATATTTTATGTTGATACTTGTTTCTACTATATTCACAATATTTATTTTTTAAAAAAGAATTAAACTTGTTATTTTACTTCAAATAATTTAGTTATAATGAGATTTAAAAAATTAAATTTTTGGCATAAAACGAATTAACCGATAAGTTATTGGAAAATTTGCAAAAGAATTTGAAATAATAAAAATATGTTTTCAGTGTATAAATTAAAAAATATATATATCTTTAAATTTTTCCTGGAACCTTGAAAAAACAGGATAATGATTTAAAGAAAGATATCCTTATTGTTTAGTAACATTTTTAATTATATTCAGATTAAACTATGTTAGTTAAGATAAAAAAAATTTATTTAAGATTTTCTGAGTTAATAATTTATATATTTGGATATTTAATACTGAATTATATAAATTTATATTATTTAAATGATCTCATATTAATAAATGATTGCTACAGCTGTTTTTTATATTTTTATGTTTCTATATTAATACTTTAAATTATATATATATATTATATCTTACTACAAAATATACACATTCAGAAATATAACAATTCCTTTTATAATGTATTTACTTGTTGATTGCGGAAGAATAAAATAATAATTTAAAATTGTAATATGATTAAAATCAATAGATGTTTATTTTTTACAGTGTTTTTATATTACTGTTTACATTTTGATATTGTAATGTTTTATTAATTTGTCTATTTATTTAATTTTAAAATTAGTAAATAATTCTGTGAATAACTACAGTATAATTAATGGTATGAGTATAATTTCACAAATTTGTTATACACATTAAATTTTCTAATACTGTATTTACAATACATTTAAATTATCTATAGACAAACACAATATCAAAAATTAAAAAAAAATTTAAAGTTCAAAACATAGTCTGGAAAAATGAATAAATTTATGTTATCATATTATTTTTAAATATAATTTAAAAATTTATAGCCAAATGTATTAAAATGTAATCAAAACTTATTTTTATTTTAGATTTATTTAGAAATATAATGAATCATTAAATTAATGTATTTAATATACTTAAAAAGAACCGTCACATTTCATTTTAATTAACCATTTATGTTTTATTAATGAATACATTTATAAATAATTAACTAATTTGTTACAATTATGATTACTGTTAATTATTTGTACTTTAATTTTTTCATAAATTTTCAATATTAATAATTAAATTTGGGTTTTCAAATTTTTTTTTCGTTTTATAAGAATTTCTTGACGTTGAAATTCCTTTCAAGCAGTTAGGTGTATTACCTTGTTTTATATGAAAATATATTTTCAATAAATGTTTTCTGCACTGAAATGTAAATAGATGATAAATATTAATTGTAACAAGATATAAATATTAATTATGTAAAGCAAAAATTATATGACTATTATATTTTTATTATATTGTCAAGTAGCATGAGAAGTTTTATTTATAGTTACTTTTATTCACATTATTTGTCTTTTTACTTTTTCATTATCCTCAATTTTGGGGAAAGTCACTGATGTGATAACATTTAGTTGAATGCACATATAACACATCTAATGTTATATGCAGATACATAGATAAATCATAAGTATATATGTTAAGGTAGTCTGTGTTTTGTATAAAGATTTTTGACTCACTTTCTATTGAAATTTCATACCATAAAAATATCAAAAATGTAAGTAATGAAAGTTTTTATGAATATATTAATATTCAGCATTAATTAATTACTTGTAAAATTTTATATAAATGAGTATGAAGTCATTAATGTGTATAAAAGATGACTATAAAACTGATAAAGTGTGCCAATGAGAAGTAATTGGTTGTACTGTACATGGTGGTGTTTTGCTGTAGTCCTATATGTCATCCAAGTATTTCATTGCTGTTTGCCTTTTTTCTCCCATGCTCCTGTCTATTCCTGGTAGGTATGGAAGATTTTGGAGCTTTGCTTTCTATCAAGCAATGCCTAAGCTGTTTGGAACAGCTTTAGTTGTTCTGTGAAGAACTAAGCTGAGAGCCATAACTTCCATGTGAGAAGTTGACAGATAACAGCAACAAAATATGCTGTTGATCAGTTATGGGTGAGAATTTTGGAACTGTCATTCATTTATGAATTTTGAAATATATTTTTCCTTTGGCTAGGTTCTTTTTCTCCTCTGAATCAAGCTAAGATTAGTTGTAATTGTTAATCTTTATATATTATAGATTTTGTAAATAATTGTAGTAAGGGAAATCTATTAATAATAAGTAGCCAGTTTCAAAAATGATTGTTTTTTAAGAACTCTGGTGAAAGAGTGTTTACTTTTTTTTATTCAGATATATTTTGAATTAGACCTTATGAGAGTTTTTCATGAGTCATTGACTTATAAAACAAAATCAAAAATATTCAAAATATAAAAAATGTCTGTTCATACAATGTGTATGCAATTTTTTCATGTTTATATATTTGTAATTGGTAGTTTCTGTTTGTTTATCCAGGTGTAAATTTAGGAGAATGCACAGAGTGCAGCTGTACCACCTTCTGGGGCTTTTTTCCAAACAAAACTGGGTACCTTAGGTAGTAAAAAATTTTGTAAGGCATATATTGTTTCCTTTCTGCACCCCTTCTAAAGATTTCTGGACCTGTTATATATCTATATAAACATTAAATCCTTCTATCCCTGCAGTTGTTGTAATTCTTATTACCATAGCCATTGCAAAACTAGTGAATATTTTAAGTTAATTTCACATACAAATTACTAACAATTATTATATTTAAATAATGCATCATAAAACATAAAAAAAATTTGAGTATGACTTTCTCTTTAACATTGAAAACACTTGATATTTGTGCAATTTTTGTAAATATTTGAAACTGAATAGATTTAATTTATAGTTTAGTTTTTAAAAAAACTTTATTCTCTCTCACCTGCTTTTTAATTAATATATTTTATTGTTTACAACATAAATTTTGTATTTAGAATACACAAATTATTTATATGATTTTGAAGAATACATGAATAACTATTAAAAATAATATTTGTATTATATATGTAATAGAAATTTTTGGCAAAATATTTAATATTGTATGGTTAATAAGTTAGAATTAAATAAATAAATTAAATTTTTAACATTTAACAAATATCGAACATAAATATTGCTTAAAATTCAGTTATTTTATCATTCAAGTAATTATGAAAAGATCATGTAATATTTATAAATGCAATAGGTAGAAATACTTTTGCATATATTGCATATGTACAAAAACAAAGCTTTTAAACTAGCTATTCAGAATGATGGCCTGAAAAGTGAGACGTGTACTTGTAATATAATATATAAGCACAGATTTCACTCTTCCTGTGGACATTCATTCTTAATTATCTAATGTAGTTAGGTGTGAAATGACATAAAAAAATGTTTATAAACTAATTTTTTCATTCTGAAATCTGTTGTTTATGGTTTGCTTTTTTAAAAAGAATTTAAATTATGTTATACAAAATTCTTATGTTTTATAAAAGAAATAATTATTAATGTTTACAGAATATTATAATATACATGTCTTTGAGAATAATTTATAATTACTATATAGATAAAATTTTTATTTGATCTATAAAATTTTGGATTTATTAATAGCAGACAGTTATTTTTGTGTTGTTTTATATGACATACTAAAATAAGTGTTATATATAAATAAATTAGAGAGATAAATTAATAGTTATAAAAATAAGTAATTATTATGATTAAACATGATTTTTTCACTATCAAAATAATGCATAAATCATTTGTTACACACATTTCTGAATTCAGTATTATCATCGGATGACATGTGTTGTGTTGTAAGGAATGGAACTCAATCTTATTGTTGCTTTTCATTATTTTCTTACTCATTTTGAGGTTTGTTTGTTAGAGAGAAGGACTCTACATTTTTAAAAAAAGATAAAATAACTTATCTGAACCAAGTTTGGATTATGCCTTCATTTGGAATGTATTACTTGATTGAGAGATAAAACACAGTATAAATTCTTAAAGGTATTTTGATTGAAGTTTGTTGACAGAAGAAAATAATTGTAAATATGTGTATAAAAAATATAACAATGAATAATTTTGATGTAATGTCCTTTAGCAAAAAGATTTTTAATGTACTAGTTTTATGTGATGAGATGTATTGGCAAAGATAATTGTGACTTCATTAGAAAACAGACAGCAGAAAAAGATGAATTTTT